GTACTCCTCAATGGTCCATAAGTACAACCCTTACAAGTCCAAGGCACCTATTCGATCGATTGCGTTTCGAAGCACTGTTATCGACTCTGTAGTCTTCTACAACAATTGCAAATTTGTTCGCATACTTGGCTTTCGTGTTGACCAAACGACGGGGAAGAAAGCCGACATGGCAGAGTTGCTCCGCACCAATAATCTTGTAAACCTTGAGGGTTTCTTCGAGCCCATCAGCATTCAATCGCATGACCTCGCACAACCACATCGTTGACGGTCAGACTGTCACCGCAAACCTCGTGTGCAGGGCAGCTTCGAGTCCCTTCGCCGCTCGAGCAGCCAACAATGTCGGCGGCCTTCAATTCCATCCCGAAGCAAATTGAAATTTGATTTTTTACTGGTTAAATAATATCCAATCATGTCTGGGTAGTTACAAGTCAAGGGTAAAGCTCAAGTTTGCTTAATCAGATCTGACTTTTTTTTATCTTGAACAAAGTATTGGAAATTTTCATGGTTACAACTTAATGGTCAAAAATTGGGGTTACAGATGTACGGTAAATTCGGTAGTTTGCAGACTTGCTAAAAGTCTCTGATATCTTGTATTGAATTTAGTAATGAAATAATTTTTTGGGGTCGATGAGAAGTTCCGTGTTAAGAGTAATGTGGGACAGAGGAAGTACCGCTAATTTCGGGGAAAACCACGCGGATAAGTCCTAATTATCCGTAACTTCGAAGGTACCACTATTGTAACAGATTTTGGGGATAGTGACATCGATATTTGGGGATCCTGTGGAGATGCTCGAGGAAGTGAAGCATGAGAGAACACATAACGACATATAAATTGCACAAAGTATCATGTATCTAAGTCGTCGAAGTTCATCAAGGTCCTTCTTCGATGCAGAGGGGCTGCAGGTAGCAAGAGTTCCTATAATCCTATCCAAGACGACAAGGACTGCTGCTCTTATCGAGAGCTATGGCATTTTCGATAATAAAGCGATCTATTCGGATACGGAAAGCGGTCGCGGCTGAAAATCGTTGGCCTATATTGACTCTCCTTTGCTTTTCGCTGAACAACAATAAAATAAATAAAATAATATAAATTTGCTTTTCAAAAGTGGTCGAAAAGCAAAAGCAAATCGACAAATCCTATATTGACTCTCCCTAATAGGGAGATTCATAATACGTTAATGTTGCTTGTTTGACCATCGGTGGCTTTGGAAATTAGGAGAAATTCCGAGGAAAACTGCCATCAATTTTGGTATCTGTCCCCTTCCCAATTTTTCTAACGGCAGCAGTGCATGGTATGACACCGAGAGGCTGCCAAATGCACTACGGAATTGTGTGATGAATGATGTTTCCATCTCTCTAGTTGTAGTTCACTTTTCAGAGGTAACGGCGGTACATGGCATGTCGATCGTCACCATCGCCTTGCGGTCGAGTTTCTTAAGTGTTCTCTCGAGGTCGGGCATGCAGATACTTGCAAGCCTACTTCACCACAGCGATTCTGTAAGCCCGCGCACCAAGTTACTACTACCTCCGATTTGAAATGATTGATAGTTTTACCGGTTACGTACAATTACTATTACATTATACATGTATTTTAATATTTGCTATACCACATACCTACGCCTAAACCTCTATAACCAGATAAGTTCACGAGAATCAGATATAGATGTGTAGATATTATACGAAAGCAAAGTGAAAATTGAGCGTCATTCCTGATCGGTTTTGACCATAACTTCTCAGATACTCTAATTAGGACTCTCCGAGCATTAAAATCGGATTTCTAGTGAAATTCTCTACATGGCAGTATACCCATCTTCAAAGCAAAACCTATTTTGACTGAGATACAAGGGTTCAAGGCCAATAAAGTGAAACCTACCAACCATTTCCAGTCGAAGGTAGTACGTAGTATACAATATATATACAGGGAACTTTTGGAATGCAAGGCCTAGTTTTTATTCGATTGGGATCAATATAAGATCATTTGATTGGCTATCGAACTTCGAAGTACGAGTTAAATTCCTGCCAATCAAGTTTATCATTCGAAATAATATTCAGGGCTTCATGTCCATTCTTTTGTATTATGAAGGTAATTATATTATGCGTCAATACAAGCTCAGAAGCATATCGGACATGAAATCAATTGTAGTTTTTTCGATAGGTCACCGAAATACGCAGTATTTGTTATGATTGGTTCTATACGATTCGATTCTCCGTATAACCCTAATCCGAACAATTCCCTTGCTGCAACAGTAGTACTGTTGTCCCGTAATCATTTTTACCAAGTGCCCCTGTAACCCCGGAACGTCTGGACCCTTTGCGCTTACATACAATGCTTTTCCCGGGGTTAAGATACATCAGTTATGGCTAACCACTGAGATGCACTTAACAATGAGTTGTTTGGAATTTACACTTGATTTGACTATGTGCCATAAATAACTTGGGTTTTGTATGCCAGGAGGCCCAAATGATTACGGAACAACAGTACTACACCTTTTTGCGGTAAATTACAGGTTTTTTTCAACTGTATTTTTCTGAACTTGCAGTATATTTCACCTGCCCTCCGATATATTTCGGTTATCTCCATTTAATTTCGTGGCGACCTCAAACATCACGTTTATATTTCACCAAGCCAGCGTTATAATTCGACCAACTATCGTTTAATTCACTTTTCGTTAATATATTTCACCCAGCCGGAGATACATTTCAACCTGCGATGTTCTCTGCTGGCTCTCGATCAACAGTTTCGTTTTCGCGTGCTTCCACCTTTCGAAGCTTCATTCAGAAAGGAGCATCCAGCACTTCGCCATCCCCACACACTCTCATTCATCCAAGCTGTTTCTTGAACCGCGTATACGTGTCCATCATGATACGTTGGGACTTCATCAGTCTCGATCGGCCCACCGGGTTGTCCACGCACGGTGAACAGTATTGGCAGCTTCGTCCCTACGTCACATGTCAGCCGTATGCAGCACCGCACCTTACCGCACCATCGGCGCAGCTCCAAGCACGGCCGTGAGGCGGTCGGAGTGCTTCTCGGTCGAATCCACTTTCGCGGATTCGCCAATTTCACACCACGTACGTCGAGGTGGCATGTCATAGTACACTGCTGTTTCATTCACATTGGCAATGTCTCATAGGGGCTTCTCACCGTGCTTCTCCCAGAAGGTCGCCGCAAACGCATCCTTCTGCTTTTCTAACTCAGCTCGTTTCAGCTTGGAATAACAAGGTACACGCTGCCCAAAGCTACGGCGGTGGGCAAAACGTTGGCACAGACCCAACAATCCATCGTACCCGGTTCCACTAGCGGCTTTCCGTTGGAGGTACGTCTCGACCCACGATTGGTGATGGGTCTTGATCCATGCGACCATATGAGCAGTGGTCAAGAGGTGGCTGTCGGCTTGAACGGCCTCCATGAAGGCCAACAAGTCGTTGGCGAATTGCATGGCGACAGGTCTCCCTTGACAACCAAGTGTCAAGCACCGTTTGTTGCGTTCAGTGGTGAGGTATGCGTCCTTCTTACTCAGCCATGTCTGCCAAGTTGTGCATGGAATACCTTCTAGTGCAGAAATAGCCTTATCCGAGAGATTTGTATTCCCATAGGCCATGAGTAGCTTGATGCCCATGTCGAGGTTGTACCGCCTTTGGACTCGCTGGGGAAGCAGCGGGGCAGGCATTTCAAAGTTTGAACGTTTCGGTGTTTCCAAGGCGGACCAATCACAGACCTTAAATTGAATTCAAGTCACTAATCCAATCAAGTTATGATGTGCTTTTTTGCATTTTATTCTTTGTCATGTGGATTGCATATTTTTATTCGAGTGCAACTGTGTCGAGTTCTTTCCCAGTTCACTGTAATGACCATGGAGTCGAGCATGCCGACAAGTGGCAAGCGTCATCCAGAGCGTATACAACCAGTACGTGTCCTGTATGGTTGGGTTTTATTGGCGAAATTATTCGCCTCCTGTGTGAAATATATTGGCGAAAAGTGAAATTAAACGATAGTTGGTCGAATTATACCGCTGGCTTGGTGAAATATAAACGTGAAGTTTGAGGTCGCCACGAAATTAAATGGAGATAACCGAGATATATCGGTGGTCTGGTGAAATACTCTGTTCCGAAACATTTGTCAGGGTCATTTTCATTTGATTTAAGTATAGGACGTTCACTCCAAAGAACTTGAATTTTGTATGCAACTCCCAAACAACATATTTACGTCAAAAATTATATTGTATTCTTTTAACTTGACGTCGACAACTTAATCAAGAGAATTTATCAAGGCCTCCATGGTGGCCTCCTCGCCCAGCCGCTCATGCAAATGAGTTAACGCATTCTCATACCAAGAAGCATCCCACTCGACATTATACAATGCAAAGTTAGCAACGGATGCATCCTTCCTCATATGAGGAAGTTTGTAGTCATTGCTCCCATGTATTTCAATGGACTTTTCCATAACTTTTTGAAGCGTTATGAATGTCTTTGTAAGTGTATCCGTCGGTAACTCATACAAATCGCTTTCTACAGCATCAATAAGCTCCTCGATTGAACGAGTGGACTTTTGATACTGTAGACTTTGAATAGAATTAAAAAATCCTAAATCTAAGTGTTGAATCTGGACTGTTAGGTGGTTGGTTGACGACACCAATTCCACTAACACCATGCACTTGTAACAACGCTCTCGTGACTCGTCGATGTGGGCCTGCGTTATCTTGTTGGATCCAAACATCACCGCGCGTGCTACCACAAGGAAACTTTGCTCGAATTTCTGGCACAACCTTGTTGACCACCGAGTCGAAGTACACTTCGAAATTCACGATGTGAGGAACGGTGATCATCGTCCTTCTGGGTCGGTTCTTACTTGATCGTGTGGATGGAGACACTTGGACTAACGGCCACACGCCAACTTTGCCGTCCAAAATCTTCTTGGCATGATGGTCGTAGCGGGGGCGGGCGACAGCAGCCAAAAGCATCACCTTCGTGATTAAATTCTTTGACTTCACCGATCTTGCCACCACTTCCTCGTCATCATATACATAGTACCTTCGCTTGACCTTTGTCAAATAGAACCACTTTTCATCGATATGCAACATATCCATGCATATCGGAGAAGCAGTGGAGTCCATTTGGCAAAGGTCGAACGATGGACAATTTATACCTCAAACAAGCTTCGATGTTGCCTTGCTGAGGAAGGGCTTGACATAGCTTGACTTAGACTTGAACCTTGGTGTGGCCTTCTTGTGTTGGAAGATCGTCATCATGGGTATTCCACTCGCAGCAGAGAGCAAGCGAAGAGTCTGTCGCAACATGTGGGGCAATGCACGTATGGCGCTTTCAACTTCTTGAGTCGTTCGCTTAGGTTTTCAGCCAGTATTCCCTATTGAAGTAAACCTTTCATATTGTATAATTCGTACAATAAATATATTTATAGATTTATAGAGTACTGCCACATTTTCGTGCTAACATCGGCGGTGTGGCCACCGCCGCGAAGCGAGAATCGTACACGTTGCCAGAGGCGAGAGATCATCCGTACGTGGCATCGAAACTGTTGTGCTGCCTTGGTTATCACTCCACGAGGGAGCATATCACCCACGGACGCGCTTAGGGGCATTTCATATATTCCACGGCGGTCCTCCAACGTCAGGTGCTTGTGGCCGTTCTGGGGCTGTGGGGTAGCAACGGGGGCACCGGCATGTTCACCGTTGGGCTTAGCAGGCACTTTTTGGTGGTACATGTATGCATGTAGGACGTTGGAGGTGTCAAATTGTAATGTGAACAACTGGCGGGTCATGGTCAGTGTTTTAGGGATGACTCGCCAAATTGAGGTGCCATATCTCAACAACAAAATCGACCTGGAAGGCTCAAAAACTACCCAATCAAAGCTGAGATCTTGCGCGTTTTGATGCGCCAATCAGATAAGAAAATGGTGTCATATTAGAAAATTTCCGCCAATCTGAAGTGCAAAGTGACAAATGTTTCGGTACAGATTAGTAAGAGAAATATAGGGAAAAAAGCTGAAATTAACCGCAAAATGGTGTACTGTTGCAGCGAGGGAATTGCTGGCCTAATCCAGTGCCAGTTTCCGAACAACTTCTGACAATTGGTGCCGGTTAGCGAATTCACTCATATGATGTGAGTGTCTTCAAAGGATCCACAGCACTCTGATCGACTCGCTTAAGTATGGAGGTCGTGTTCATTTGCATCCTTGTGCTCGGGAATTTACTGCGGCAGCCAATCAAGTTGGTGTATTATGATGTTGATCGGCATACAGCATATCGCTCTATATTTGAGTGGTTGAGAAATATCTACGGGTACTGATCATATTAGCTGTCAATTACCATAGCTCTCGGTCAACTCACAGGATATTGATCATATGTCGAAATAGCTAAGAGCATCTCCACCGGAACACGGATTTTGACCCTGGATCTGAGTCCTTTTCAGTGTCATATTCTGCACTGAATTCAATAAATTTGAGTACAGTGAACTTGAAAAAAACTCGCAAGGGTTGCACTCATAAATATATTGGGATTTGTATATAGTCTCCAATAGTGGGTGTGGATATTTTTTTGACGTTGCAAGTCGTGGTATGATGACTGAAACTTTAGACTCATTTGATTGGCAATGTTGATACCAAAAATATTCATTTTTCACAGCTCGGTTATCGTCGTCAAAGCTCAAAAATCCTACGAAGTGCCTTTTCAAAAGACCTTTTCACAGACGATTCACTAATCGACTCCCATGCACTAATTGTTCTCTCTATCATTTTCATTCTCTTTTCTGCAGCAGTTACAACAGGACGCTCGAGGAGCCACCTTGCACGCAACTTCGCCTTCAACGGACCCATGACACCTACATCGAGGGGTTGGCAGACACTCGTGGAATTTGGTGGAAGCGGTTCCAGAAAACCATACAGCTCATCATCCACCGTTTTGCGCGACGGGTAGGAAACATGCGCCGACAAGTTGTCCACGATGATGACTGAAGGTCCCACCAGCTCGTACTTCAACAGTTCTTGGAGATAGAATAGCCAAGTCCTCTCATCCATCCAGGCATTCTCCTGGACTGCATAGATATGTCCGTCAGGGTAATGGGGAAACTCATCCGACTCAATTTGCCCACCAGGCGTGCCGCGAAGGATAAACAAAATTGGCAACTTCGTTCCTAAATACAACAATTCTTCAGTACTAAACGATGGCTAGTTCAGTGCAACTACATACCATCGGCGCAAATTGACATTACTGCTGTCAGGCGGTCGGAATGCTTTTCCGTCGAGCAGACCTTGGCGTCTTCTCCAATTTCGCCCCATGTCCGTCGT